TCTCCAAAAGTTCAGTTTTTTAAAAGTTTGTGCGGATTGAATGTGTTAATTATTGAGCTTTCTTGTCTTTTGGTTCAGTTGTGGGCGGTTAGCATCATGGCCTCGCAGCTAGAAGGTCGCCGGTTCGCGTCCCGGTGAGGACACCTGAGAGTCTCCGTGTTCTCATGGGTTCTCTCCGGGTTCTCCGGCTTCCTCCCACAGAAACATGTTGAGGTTAATTGGTGATTCTAAATTGTCCGTAGGTGTGAATGTGAGTGTGCTTGGTTGTGTAGCCCTGTGATAGACTGGTTACCTGTCCAGGTGAACCTGCCTTCACCCAGCTGGGATAGGCTCCGCCCCCCTAGTGAGGACTAATCGGTGTGTATAGATGATGGATGGATGATTCAATTCTCGCACAAAAACAAGCACGTTTCCCAAACTCCCCTCAAGAGGCTGAACATGGAACACCTCCTGCTCCGGGCGGCCGGACGTGGAGGCGTCCGGTCCGGTTCGGGGAGCAGCCGCCTCTCGGTGACCTCTAGGAGTCGGTCCAGTGGTCTGCTCCAGTTTGCACGCCGATGACCTTCTATCTGTGTCTCTCCTGTTCCCTGTGCTGTGCGTCGTCTGAAGCAGTGGAGTCCGTGTCGTCCTCGGTTCAAGTCTTTCTCACGGCTTTCTTTGTCTCCGATCGCTGCTCCTCCTCTTCCTCCTCCTCCTCCTCTTCCTCGTTATTTCTGTGTCTTCAAGTCTCTCCTCGGTGCACATAGGTGGTCCCCAGAATGCTGTGTGTAGTCTTGCAGGATACCTCTTTTATTAATGTCATTTTTATTGCCGATGAATATGCTGATGTATTAATTTTGTTTTTGTTTTTTTTGGGATATGTTGTGTATACATTATGTTGAGACGTCGTATGCAGACAGCAGGTGTATATGTGTGTATGTACAGTCCAGACGAGAAAAGAAAAGAAAAGAAAAAAAAAAAAAAAAGAAAACCCACCGAGAAAAAACCTGCAAAACCCACAGAGATCGCTTCATCCCTCACACTGGATCCAAATGTGCCATTATCTTTATGTATCACAAATATCCACACACACACACACACACACACACACACACACACACAGACAGAAATACATATTGCATATTGTACAGGATCAAAATGTGCCATGACTAAATGAAACGCTTGACAATTTATTTTTTCTATGTTTTCAAAGGAGAGCCAAGTAGTGACATGTACAGAAAATGTTGCAATGATATGAAAATAAAAATCTTGCTGTGTGTAAATTATTCAACAATTAACTGTTTATATTAAAATTATGAATAAAATTATTGGAGAATACGCGGCGTCTTCTCGCACTTCTTAACTTTAGATCTTTCTCTTTTTTTTTTTCACCAAAAAGTGTTGAATAAATGTGTTTTTAATCAGTTTATTATCATTATAGTAATTATTTATCTTTGAATTAATCAATCTAAACGTGATCTTGTGTAAAATTAAGGCTAGAAAATGCATTTTAATGACAGAAAAAAACAAGCCTGATGGGACCCGTGAAATAATATTTTGTTTCCTGTAACTCTCAGTCAGACTTGTGCACCTGTTGACAGGTGTTCTGATCCACTGCTCATCAGCAAAGGGCTCTGATTTGTCTGGGACAGTTTTAGTTTGTTTTTTTAAATTATTCTTTTCAACCACAATTCAAAAACAACGTCTTATTTCACTAAAGTATAATTTTGCAAATTTTTATTTATTATTACTTTTTTCCGTTTCTGGTTATTTGAGTGTGAATTTTGCCTTTTCTTTAATGGATATAATATAATATACCTGGCATAGAATCTGACACATCATCCACCACAGGTCGTGAGTCGAGCACCATGAAGCAGAAATTAAACAAATTAAAACTCGTATATGAAAATTAATATTTGATTTTTTCTTTTAATTTGTCAGAAGGTTCAATAAACTCTCAATTTTTGGCAATTATTTCATGGTTCAGGCTTTACAGGGCAAATATTATGGGATGCATCATAGTTTCAGCAGCAACACGGTCGCAGATTAGTAGAAAACAGTGCATTCTGGGTAAACTTTCAAGGCTCATGTGTGATGGTGGTTCATCAGAACAAGTTCTAGACAATGAAAGGATGATTTTTGCCCACAGAAGACACCAGCTGATCATCTAATAGACACGATAACTTCACATCAGTGCAGCTGCAAAGGGAAAAAAAAGAAAAACAAACACATGAACCTCCATCTGGTCGATTAAATCAAAATATAATACAGATATGAGCTTTTATAATAAAACTTATCCAGTGAAAAATCACTTTAAGGTTAGATTACTCTGACTTCTATAAAAACATCGTAAATAGTTTTATTTGAAATAATCCACACATGAACATAGACTACAAGCAACGTTCACACGACAGCCTCAGAGCAGCGTCATGATGATGATGAAGTCTCCCTGTGACCGTAAACACAACTAGTTCCTCCTCAACCTCACAAACAAACAAACAAACTGTCATTTCCTGGTATTAGTCCCTTAACTTTACAGCTTACATGACAACAGCTGCCAACATATGACAGTATTTTACTTTTTTTTACAGAAGCTGCACATTATGTAGATGAATCCTGCATCATAACAGTCATGACTCAGCAATTTAACTCTGTGTGTCGTCTGATCAGTGATGTGTTCAGCTCTGGGCCGGTCGTCTCCGGCCTGTGAGGTCAGAGCTGAGGTGAACTCTGCTGTGAGCTGCAGTTCTTCTGCCGCTCGGCGTTTCTCAGCAGCGTCGTGTGAAACTACGCTGCACAGAAAGAGGAAGCTGTGCTGAGATCCTGCGGCTGGTTGTCTGTCTGCACTCTGCGCCAGCTCGTTCTCACGGAGACCAGCTCCAAGCCGACGACTCGTTTTCATCTCTTTTCTGCTCAGTTTGGTGCAACAGGACGGATTTACAGTCTGCTGCTGCTCGCCGCCCATCGTCCAGCGTGAGTAGAGTTTGTGTTCAACTTGTGACCTCAGCGCGAGGCCCGGCTCTGTACCAGCATGCACTGCGTTAAACGCGAGGGTTTGTGTGCAGCCCGGTTGGGTTTGAACACGTCTCCACTGTGCCAGCGTTCCCTGTCTGTGGGAAAGTCGGCAGAGTTTTCCACTTGATGTGCAGTGAGCTGGACTTGACAGTCATCCAGAGCTACACGGCCGCAGAGCGAGAACGGCTGCAGGAGTCCACAGAGTGTCGGTGCAGCAGATACGTCCTCTGATGGGCTCTGATCGCAGCGTTTTAAGCAGCGTTTTAAGAACTAATCTGATCTACGGCTTCACATAAGACGAGTTGGTTCGAGGAGACAAACGTAGCGTTGGTGCTCTGGGCTCTCGTTGCGTTTACTTCCTTCCCTTTTTCTGTTTCTGCACAGTTTCACTCAAACAATTACATCTTCAAACGTGTCTGAGGGACTAGAAATCCCTTTTAGACACACTTTCATACCAGAGCAGCTCCCTTTGCTTCACTGTGTTGTCAAATCAGCTTTTAAAGATGCTCACAGTGAAGATCTTTGCTGCTGTTACACAGAAACTAGGAGGTTTGTTGTTGTGTATGCATTCATGGTTAAAACAAACAAACAAACAAACAAACAAGAATATGTTAAAACCAGTACATAAAACAACAGTTAGAGAACAGCTACACTACTGTATGTACCTCGAATGCCGTTTTTTAATGTACTAAATGTAATTTAATGAAAATTAAACAGAAAAAAACACATGAAAAATGTCACTTCTACGACAGTAAACACCTTTAAAATACAGACATCCAACAAAATGACGTGAATTATCAGCTGAAGACTAACAGAGGGTATTTTTTTTATTGTTTACATGTTGGAGTTTAATGAAAAATAAACACAA